GTACACATTTGCATGAGGGTCCTGGGAGTGATGGTTTCCACTTTCAAAACAGTCCCATTCACTCAAACCCACTCAAGGCTGCTTTTGACTTTGTGGAAAAGACAGCCCCCATTACTGGATCGTTCTATGTCATTCTCCAAAGACAAGAATGTCTCTGATCTGGTGGCTAGTAAACCCAGCACTAAGATTAGGCAGTCATTTCTGCCAGTTCAGTGGACGATCCTCAGATGCCAGCCTTTCAGATTAGGGATTTGTTCTTTTTGAGATAAGTCCTCTCAATCTCACAGTAAAACTGCTGCTGGTCTCCTCACTCTCCAGCTATCTCCCCAACTATCTCTCACAGAATACCCGGTGCCGCTCACTATGTACAGGTGAGGAACTGGCTGGGCTAGACAGAAATTCTGGACTGGCTTTGTTACCTGCTGTGCTACCCACAAACTGCGGAGTGGAGTACTGGTGGGGAAATTTAGACACCCTCTATTACAATGCCTTGGGTTCTGTCGCAGAGGGTACAGTCCAACAATGTTACTGCTGTAGCATACATACATCGTCCTGGAGGAAAAAGAAGTTATGCAGTCCTAAAGGAAACAGAGAATTCTAAAATAGGCAGAGACTTATGTGCCAGTTCTGTCAGCAGTATTCTTTCCTGGGGTGGAAAACTGGCAGGCAGACTTCCTCTGTTGACAGCAGCTAGATCAGTGGGAGTGGTCCCTAAATTTGAAGGTGATCTGTCAGCAATGGGGTACACCAGACTGCACAGCAGTGGAGGAACTGGGCACAGCAGTGGAAGAACCGGGCACAGCAGCGGGGGAACAGCAGCGGAGGAACAGCGGTCTCTACTCCCCACTGGGCATCGGCTGCAGGGCTTTGTGTCCCCTCTAATCAAAGAGGACACAGACCACAGCATGCAGTGGCTCCCAGTGAGAACAGAGGCGCAGTTTGGCGGCAGGGGGATTCAACTAATCGGAATCAACTAATAATGAGAATCATTGACAACAAAGTTAAATTGATTAGTTGTTGCAGCCCTACTGGGAACAGAGTGAGGTCTTTGCTCAGGCAATTCCAAATGGCAGTAAGCACGTTTTTCTAGGCATGCCAATAGAGGAAGTGCCCAGCTGCCCTTCTCAATATTAATCTGTAAGGTGAGAAGGAAAGCACACAAGCAGGATATGTACTGGATGAATCTGCTTAACTCTCAGACATGTCAAGGGAGGGAGAAGTCCATCGGAAAAGGTAGCAACACATATTTAACATACCAGATAAGCACAGTTTGGGCATGCAAAGACACAACTATAGCAGGTGAGAAACAGGTTGGTTCTGCAAAGATGTATTGTAACTGCAGAAGGGACATGGACAGACAAAACACAAGTCAGGTCCAAAGAGACTGACTTGTGACACCAGTAAGCTTCAGCTCTACCTCCTTTGTCCCCTAACCAAGCTTAGCTTCTCACTATCTATTCTCAGAATGGTTCATGATCAGCCTTCTCTGTCTACAAACAAAGCCCACTGCTTTTTTTCTCTTAAGCTCTCCATTATCATCTACTTGCTGCCTTAATCGGCTCATGCTTTCCCCTGGCTATGCCCCTACTCTGCCATAAATGGCTTCCACTCTGCCTTCTGGTGCACAATCAGTTTCCATTCTGCCTCCTCATCCATGTTCAGCCACAAACTTTGGTACCAGTCAGTAGGTGAATAAGCCAGCTCATCAGAATCTGGAACATCCGTTTAAAATAAGGGGGCCCCAAGACATCTGGCTCTCTCCTCTATGTGAATAAGCAAGGACCCCTTGTTACTCATTCATGAAAAAAGTTAAACAGTAAAGCACACACACGCCTTAGAATAAGTTCTGTATTAAAAAAACAAACAAAAAAACAAAACCCAGATGTAAATCCTACGTCATCCAGCAATGTAGATCCTACGTCAATCACAATGAGTGACGACCCACAACACAACAGTTCTCTCCTGCTGATACCTCTATTACAAATGACATAAACATATGGGATAAATTACATCACCCGGAATCCCTGGCCTATTTGTTGATAAACAGCAGCAAGCTGGGAGCTGTCATATACAATGGGAGTATCAGTGGGAGAGGATCGTCATAGTGTGGGTGTGTTTATTTACTTATTGAACTACTATGTAATATTAACTCATTGAGGGTGAGTAAGGGGAAGGGCTTGATATCTGGGGCCCCCTTTATTTTAAAAGGGGTTTCCAGATTAAGATAAGCTCTCCCCTGAAGATCTTGGCATTCACATGCCCAGGAATGTGGGGGTGAGGCCCTTGGCCCATCAACATGAGCACAAAGTGTATGGTGTGGGGGATGCTTTGCACCCCCATACTGTAAGGAACCCTCGCTAATACCCTCCCAACCTCATGGGGGTCTGGGCTTAGCTGCGTGTTGATCCCAGGTCCCAACCCTCAGCAGTGGCGTAACAACCAGGGAGGGGGGGGCAGTCGGTGCGCTTCCCCCGGGTGCAGAGCTAAGGGGGGGCGCCGGCCGAAAATCCGTTGTTTCTTTCCTCCCCGCTGGGCGCTGCTCTGTGTCCCAGCGGGGAGGAGAGAAAGTGACAGCCGGCCGAGCGCTGCGGGAGGAGAGCGCTGTGAGCCGCCGGCGTCTCTCCTCCCACACCACTCAGCCACCTATTACAGTCCGGCAGAGCGGTGTGGGGGCGGACACAGAGAGGAGAGCGAGAACAAACACTCAGTGATCAGTGATCGCTGAGTGTTTGTAGATAGAGGACATGGTATGTTTACTATATCCTCTATTATGAATTAATGGGAATGATCTACATCTCCTCGTGTTCATTCATAGTTGTAGTTATAGTATCCATACTATGTTCTCAAGTTATCAATGAACAGAAACACTCAGAGGATTCCTGTTCATTGATAACTGGGGCTGCAGAAAAAGAGATTGAGGACTTTGTCTCCTCAATCTCTTTTTCTATTTTAAAAGGGAAATATCAGGGGTCTGTTTAGACCCCTAATATTTCCCCTATTTCGGTGCACCTCTAGTTATTACGCCACTGCATGTGTCCCTCTGCACTAAAGCTGGCCATACGCTACTACAAGCTGGGCCTGGCACACAGGGACGTGAAGCAGGCGGGGTAGAGGCGGGATGCGGCAGGGTCTAATACCGCTAGGGACTGGGCCCCTAGCGGTATTAAAGTACTAGAAATACAATGCCTTTATAGTAAATCTCTAGTACTTTAATACAGCCTCATATCAGTTACAGGGAACTAAAAGTCTCAGTTGGACTGGCCGCTTGTAGTTCACAATTAATACAATACCATTATAGAACATAGAATAAAACATAGATAAACCTAAATGTTCTATTCTTAATTCTATAATGGCATTGTAGTACTTTCAGGTGGACAGTAATTAATACAGCTTCATAACATAACATATCAGCTAGGGAACTACAACGATGTGTGTGTGTGTGGGGGGGGGGGTTGTACAGGGACAATGATGGCATGCTTGGACTCGTAGTTCCCTAGCTCATATGTGTGTGGGGGTACAGTTCCACTGGATGTTTATATAATGGGGGGGGCAAAAAAAAATTCTGCCCCGGTGCCCATAACTCTGGTTACGCCACTGACCCTCAGGTCGACTCTGCTCAAGCACCATGAGTCAGAAGATGACCTATACCTTCAGTAAAAAGATTGCACACAAGATTTCACTCATAAATCCTTAATTTCCCCCCAAAAAATCCAAGAGGCTGAAAAACTACTCACCAGATGTGAGTAATGCCTACAGTCATACATAAAATCTTCCTAATCACCTATCAAATACAATGAATATACAATCAAAATTCAGGTACCCTTCTCTATATTTTTTGGGAGTGTCCTCCAATAAATTGTTATCGGAATAAAGTAAGAATAGTCATTCAGAAAATGTTAGGAATAAACCTGGAACGTCAACTAGTCCTTTTACTTTTTATATCTTAACCACTTCTTGAGGAAGAGCTACTTAGAATCCCTAAGGATACATGTACTGAATGCAGCTAGGGCATGCATACCAGTATTTTGGAAACAATCCTATCTTCCTTCCATGGACATGTGGTTCGCAAAAACAAATGAAACCATGTTGATGGAGGAACGTACATCTGCCCCTGTAACCAACATGAAAAAAGTATTTGAGGTTGAATAAAGACATTAGTCCATCAAGTCCAACCTATTAGGATCTCATTCTAGGAGTACCTGTACCCCTGTATATTACGGTCCCTTAAGAAATCGTCCAAAAGTTTCTTGAACAATTCCACATTATTTGCTGAAATCACCGCCTGTGGCAGTGAGTTCCAGACCCTAACCGATCTT